ATTTTTGACGTTTATTAAGGTTAAGTTTTAGTGAAGTTGATTTTGACTTTTGTTGAAGTATACCTGTTTGAGTTATAATTCCTTTGCTATACAAGTGAATGACATGAAGATGGAATGATTTTTTGTTAAAATTTGCTCATTTAAATTACAAGATAGTGCTATTTTGTTATAGAAATAAGAATAATTTTTGCTATTTTATTTTTTATAAGTAGTACTGAAGAATGAGTAACAATTTTATGAGCTATTTAATGCTTTCTTTTTTACTTTTTTGCTTTAATGTCATATAAGTCTAGGAAAATATATCCTCAATTTCTTAAGACAGTTTCTACTGATATATTAGTAACTCTGATTATGTTGTTAATCTTAGCATGTGAATTCACTGACTTTGCTATTTGACATTTGCTATTTGACATTTGCTATTTGTCTATGGTACCATTGACTAACTAACGATAAACGAGAAAGCCAGCTACTTTACAAACCTTCACTTATTGTTGTATAGCTATTTGTAAGACATATATTATTTTTCTAACTACTATTACTAAGAGGTTTCTAAAATATATTAAAAAGACTCTTCCAGTTAGAAGCTTGGACCCTGGCCAAGTCCTGGCCTTAACTAGTAGAGAAATTCTTCTGCACCAAAATTATATTCAAGTAATTTTGACTTACCAAATTTGGACCTAGAATAGCTAAACCTCCTTTTAAGGTGAACTTGGAAATCTTACCTGGAATGATTTTCCAAGTCCTCACTTTTAAAAATAAAGGTTGCCAATTAGCTACAGACACTAAGTAATAGCACAATATTAAAGAAATTTATAATGCATTGTTTTAAATCACCATTCTATTTTTCAAGTACTACTAATTGTATCAATTATCTGATTTATTTTTACTTAGTATAAGTTTATTGTTACATTACATATTGTTTTGCTTTTGTGTTATCCTCATGTTCCTAACAAGAAACACACATGCTATTAAAAACCAAAAAATTAGGGGGGAATTAGGGCTCCTCCAGAACTTTACACTAATATTTACACTAAAAATTTTTGAAAACAAACCAAATCATGTCAAATTGGATCCCTTACCCTCCTGAAACACCCTTGGAACCCCAAGAGTTAAAGTTCCTGGGTTCTGTGAAACTGGATTTTTGTGTTAATTTTAAATACATGGGAAGGAAACAGTCTAAAAATGTTTCTTCCTGTCACCCTGTGTATAAGAATCAAACCTTTTGGTACGATTACACTTCTGGCACAATTACACTTTCTAAATCCAGTAATGCAGCTGCCATCAGGGATGTTTTCAGTTTATAAAGATCAAGCCTGAGCCTTTTAGTGGATGGAGTTTTTTAACGAAAAGATTATTTTTAGGATAGGTATGTATGTGGTAATTTTGATAATAATTGTATTAATCATGATACCTTTCAGTGTGCAGAGATTAATTAATAAGGCCATTAAAAGAGTATTTTTGATCGCAAGGAAAGGGGGAAGTGTTGGTATGTTGGGGGACACAAGACAGATGATAGACTTTGGACTTGGTTAACATAAGAGATTTGATGACAGGATTCCTTGGCAAAAGTAAACAGAACTTTGAAAATTAGACCTAGATTACAAGAAGATTAAATCAGACAGGTTTACCAGAAAAAGAAAATCTCATTGAACTCTGCAAGCAAGAGACATTCTTATATGCATAAATTTGTGTATGTGATTTTAACCTAATCATTGTAGTACACATTACTAGTCTCCCTAAAATGATACATAAGCATATGTATCCCACAATAAAATTGGATTCTGATCACTGAATCAGTCTCCCTGTCTCTCTCCATCGCCGTCACCAGATTATTTTTCAGCATTGAGTATATCTTTCTGTCGCAACACCAGTTTAACTAGAATGTTTCTTGAAAATCATTTTGAATATAATGTTTTAGAAAATGGTCAGCTACCAGCTGTGAACATTAAAAGGCTGAGAACACAGAGAGGAAACAGTTTGCACAAGAACAAGTTTAATCCTAGAAACACCTGTCTTCTGGATTAAGGTAAGCTTATTCATACTCTGGTATGAATAAGCTTACCTTATTGTAGGACTGTAGCAGAAAGTCCTACAATTCTCTTGGTGATGAGCTCAAACAAAACAAGAGACCTGCTTGGACAAAGGAAAAAATGCATGGTCAGATAATAGATGAGAGATTGAAGGTACTGTTGAGTTTGCAGGGGTTCCCAGGACAAGGTGAGAGATGTATGAATCTGACTCCATGTTCTTGAAAGGCTAATTTATTATATTATGATATGATATTATATGATGATATGATATTATATGATATGATGCTATACTAAAACTATACGAAAGATAGAGAAAGGATACAGACAGAAGGCTTAACAAGAATGATGATGAAAGCTCGTGACTCTCCAGAGTCCTGACACGGCTGGATGGTGATTGGTCATTAAGTAAAAACAATTCACATGAAACCAAAGAAACAATCACCTACCACATTCCAAAGCAGCAAAACAGGAGAAGCAGATCTGATAATTCTTATTTACATTTTTCTCTGAGGCCTCTCAGCTTCCCAGGAGATGAATCCTGGGCAGAGATTTTTCAGAAAATATGATGGTGACAAGGTACCAAAAAGTTGAGTCAGAATTTTTGCAGACAGTTTTGTAACACTGTGAACCACCAGTGATCTCAGATGCTTAATTTCAGTGAAGAAGTAGTAAAAAACCACAAAACAGTACAAAATCCCATCCCGCACTGCTGGGTTCAGGAGATTCTGTGCATTTAGAAATCCATGTTCTGAAATGCTGCCTAAAATTGCCTGGATTTTTATGTATACAAGTACTACCTGCAAGCATTAAAAATTATTGTCCTAGTCATGACACTAGGGCCTTGGTGCTAGCAGACAGTGGCACTGAGAGGTACAGCTCTGATTTTCTCTTGTAAGTGGCCTAGGTTGGTGCCAAGAAACACAGGATGAGATGATTTTCCTAACATTCTGAGTAGGATTCAAGGACTTTGGAAAAACATAGCAGAGCCAGTCTCAAAAGAAGTACTCTCAGGCTTTGCTAAAGAGACAGGCCAGGTGGCAGTGCTGTGGGGAGTTGTAGTCCATGCTATTAGAAATTCTGTAAGTAGTTCACCTTTATGCTTCTTGCTTTGGGGACCAGAGCCCCTGTCCTCTGGCAAGGCAGTCCCAGCTCTGCTGGCAGCAGCCCCTCAGGGAGTACACAGTGTACCTGGCACATGAAATCCCTCACTCTCCTGTGTTTTTTTTAAAGCAGAACAGCTGGAACAGCTGAGGAAGGAGCTTCATAGACCTCTAGCCAACATCATCATGCTTTTAACTGAGCTGTTGCTCATTACGTCTGAGGGAGACTACACTGACTCCAGCACAAAGATTAAGAGCCAGGCGCTTCCTACTTTTCTCTTGGAAACTGGTTCTCTGCTTAATTAACACATCAGCATTTGGGCCAGACTCCAATTGCACAGCTCAGTGGTGCTGTCCTTTTCCTGGCATAGGGCTCCAGCCAGTACAGGGGCCAAGGAAGAAAAAGCAAGAAGGACATGGAAGCACCAACTCCAAGAGACATTTCAGCAGGAGGCAAAGCACAGGGCCAGTCACTAACCTGACTCATGAGGAGTCCTTAGGCCAGGGTGTGAGGTACCACTGTTCAAGTTTGGGACTTAGCTGTAGGTGGCTGCATGAAACCTGCTCACACGGACTCCTGCTCGGCACCGATGGGTGACTGGAGTTTGGGCTAAGCTTCAGTTGAGTGTTGTGGGCAGAAAGAGAACTGAGGAGCCTGGGAGACTTGGTGCCTCAATTCTGTCACTGGTGTTCAGGAGATGAAAGCTTAAGTCCTTGGTTGTTGTCCAGTTTTTATGCCAAGCAAAAGACGTGGAAACATGGAGAAGAGCAAGTAGCTCTCATTTGTGACAGGCCTGTCCTCTCAGAAAGAGCTGAGTATGCAGTTCAAACAGAAAGAAGAAAAAGCAACTTCTTTCAGAGAAGACAAAAGTCACTTAAGTCACTCTTCTCAGATTTGAGGGATACCACTGAGGCAGGGAAAAGAGACTTACAAAATAGCTTACTGAAAATGCATGCAAATTGTACTCCTTTATCATTCAGGACTCAAAGCATGCTTCTCTCAAATGCTTTGGGAGTTGGGAGGGTCCTGGTTTTAAATACTAACCACATCTAACACTCTCTGAAATTTGCTTACCTTTTCTTTTCTTTTTACTTTCTCTATGAAGCAAAAAATCCAAAGCTGGGAACTTGAGCTTCACTCACCCTGAGTGTCCTGTTACATGAATGTTCCATGAGCAAAAAGGAAATTATTTTTGTGTCATTTAGCTCATCTAGGAACTATTTGTGCTGATGGCAGCAAAACATTTAGCTGTTGCCAGCTAAGGGCAGGAGGGGCTGGGTGGTGAGGGTTCTCCCTTTTCTGAAGATCCTTAGTTTACAGAACAACTTGAAAGGCTCAGGTGAACAGGACAGATTCCAACTGTGCCAAAGGTGGCAGTGCATTCAGGCCTGCCTGGGATGGCTGTGGGCCAGCAGTGCCTGCAGCAGGTTGCAGGCACTGCTGGGTTGCACAAGTGGGTGCACAGATCCTCTGTGCTCTGGAGGGGTCTTTGACCCATGTGTCAGCAGCTGCTGCTCTCTTGGACCCCAGGCCAAAGACCTTCAGGAATTTCACCTCCTGTGCCATCAGAGCAGGCCCCTGGCTTGTGGTGAGGAGCTGTGTGAAGGCTCGTCTGGAGCCTTCCCCTTCACCCCCTGCCCTGGCACTGCCTTTAAGCCCTGGCCCCTGCGTGGGTTGCACTTGTGGCACCCAATCATTTGTAGAGAAACACGGCACTGTTTTCATGAGAAGGTGTTTTAAAGATGTCTGGAAAGTGCAGAGGAGCAGTGTGAGCAATGATACAGGGAAAGGTGTATTCCTTGATACCGTACCTTTAATGCATCTCTAGGACCTGATTATGACTTTCACTGCCAAGAGACGCTGTGGTCCTTGTGTTAAAGAACTGCATTTATTCATATAAAGGCATATTGATGGTGCAAATGTATAATTGATAACCTATGTAATTAGGTATACTACATATACACCTGTATTGTTTCAGGTACTTCCTACAAAAATATGGGAAATTCAGTGTTCATTAGAGCATTTTATAATTCAACAATATAAATTGAGGTGAAAACAGGCTACCCACCTTTGTGGGAATTCCTGCCTGCCCCAGCACAATGAGACAAAGGCAATGGGATGTACATTCAAAGCAGCCCTTCTAGAGCTGCATCACTGCTTTGCTAACATTCCCTGTTATGCAGATGTGTTCCAGCTGCAGATGTGGGAGAAGCCCTTAGGTGTGCCTGGGAATGGTGGCCTGGAAGCACCTGACTGAGATCTGTTCTGAATCAAAGCAGCTGAAATACGCTCAGCACATGTTCTCTTTTCACTGGTGCCTCTGGGAAATGAGAATCAATTCTTGCTTTTCACTGGGTGCTTCTCTGCCCAATGACTGCATCAAACTTCACCTCAGACATCTTCTTCAGAAGGTTCAGGGCACGTTCTGGAAACACCCTGGAAGAGAGAGTAACATGAAATGAAAAGTGGGATAGAAACTTAAAGGATGGGAAAAAGTGTCACTGCAGGTGAGGGAAGAGCTGGTCTGGCAGCAGAATGCATGCACACATGAACTGAGACTATGTATTAAACTGGGCATTATTTCATAAAGTCATGTAGGCCTCGTCAATCTGTGACAAGTTTTAACTCGAATCCCCCCCTCTCTTTTTAGGACAATTCCAGGACAGGTATGTACCAACCATGATTTAGGCTGCAATATTGCTGCAGAATCCAGAAAGTTTTCATGCTGAACACAGACACAAGTATTTGCTTTCTCTTTGCAACAAAGCCCTTTAAAAGCAATTTTCCAACCTGAATGGCCTGAATTTTTGGTGTTGACAGAGAAAAAACCACTCAGGTCCTCATGTCATTCTGAGGCTACGCTGGAGCTGCTGTTTCAGGGAATGTGGTGGCCTGTAGAGCAGTGAAGCTCTGCGTGGACACCAGTCAGCTGCAGCAAGTGGTACAATGCAAAGGCCTGTGAGAGGGCTCAACAAAATCTCAAAATGATGTCTGCCATTGTCACTGGAAAGAACCACTGCATTATTAACTACCTTGTGATAGGTTCTAAAATACAAGTTAATCTTGAATCAGATTTTACAAGTTTGAGGGTGGTACACTCATCAGGTTGCAGCTGATACTTTTGTCCTACTCACCTTTCAAGCAGTAAAGCAATGCTCTGATTTGATGGAACAAAAACCATTTTCTGGTTGGTCACTATTCCTTCCATCAAAGCCTGGACGACTTCTTCAATCTCCAAAATCTTTCCAAGCCTACACAGGAAAGCAAACACATAAGAGCTGCAGTGATAAAAAGGGATGGTACCAGCTGATCTAGGAGGCTTCACAAATGTACAAACTCAGGTAATTCAAATGCAACAATTACATGGACAATTAAACAACAATTAAAGGACATTGCAGATTTTCTTTAGTCAATTATACAAACAGTTATTATACAACCAGTTGGAACAGAGGCCTAAAGCTGGGATAATATGCAGTGCCTTGATGCAAAGAAGGAACCACAGGAATGCAGAGTATTGAGAGTTACCTTGTACTGGGGTTTTTGACAAATCCAGTGTTTATAAAAACCGGACAAAGGCATGTTGTTTTTATTCCATCCTTTCCCAGGGCAGACAGCTCCTCTGTCAGAGCTTTATGAAATCCAACTGCAGCAAACTTGCTTGAGCTGCAGGAAGAGAGAAAGTACAAATGAGAATGCAGAAATCCTATTTCCACCTTTCTACCACTGCAAATGGCTTAAACAATCATACACACACAGTAGAGGGTAGGATGCAAAAACCTCCAAATAATCCAGCTGAGAGGCAGAGCAAGGACTATATCACCCTTCTGTGTGCCAGGCTGTAGTGCTGTATAAGGTATTGAAACTTGTGGAGTAATTGTGGAAAGCAGACAGGGTGTCAACAGGCAAACAAAGCAGAGATGAAAACATCAGGAAATCTTAGAAAACATTAACTAGTGTGTGACGCACATCCAATTTTTCCCATGAGAGAAGATTCTTGGAAGGAATGCATCATGAATGTCTGAAATTAGGAAGGAAGGGCAGGGTAGAAATGGAGATTAACCTTTGACTACTTATAGTACCACACAGGAGTATCTCAACTGCATGTGCTTTGAAATAGTGGGATATTACGCAAGCAAAATGTAGAGGAGGAACGACCTGCCATGGAAATAGGTGTGGGCCTTAAGTTTCAATGAATTCCAAAGAAAATAGATATCACATGACCATTCTTTCATACAAACACTGCTCACGATTTTCTTTCATACAAACATTGCTCACGATTCAGTCAGACCTAATCACTTGGTACTTCCTGGTGGAAAAGATGCAATTAAAATTTTTAAAAATTAATCAAGCTGATTTCAAAATAACTTACCAATATACCACCATGAAAGGAGTCACAAAATGACCTGCTGCTGAAGCCACCGTGACAATGTGCCCATAGTTGTTGTTCATCATGACTGGCAGGAAAGCTCTCGTGGTCTTGGAAGTCATTTAAACCAAGAGGCAAAGTGCAGGGGACAGGCACACTTGGGACCACAGAGGTACAGACTGTTCTGAGGCAGCTCAACCACAGCCATTACAATAAAATGTTTCATATGTTCTCAGTGCTGTCTATGTTCCTTCAGAGGCTGAAATCCTAGAGAGCAAACTTGGCAAGAGGATGTGATATGCTGCAGCCTCCCAAATAGGATGAGACTGGCTGTGATCTTGGAAATGCTACAGCACTCTGTGTCCAGAGAGCAGTGAGGAGTGGAGAACTTCCAGGGGCTTGCAGGATTTGTGTACAACATGTCTTCTCTAGTTTTCATGCCTTCTCTGAGAATCAAGCATGGTTGGGAAAGCCTTTGGCCATGCCCCTGCTACCCAACCTTGTCTGCAGCACTGTAGATCTCCTCCCGTTTGCTGCAGTCCACCACGAAGCTTTGAACAGTGGCTCCCAGCTTCTGGCATTCTGCCGCCGTCTCCTCAACGCCGTGCTGGCAGAGGCAAAGAGAAAGACACCATGCACAATTGTCCCCTCACCACAACCGAGCAGCAGATGCTGAAGATGTCCCTGGATTGAGCAACCACTGCCCAACCCCTGAACAGTTCATGGCTACCCAAGCAAAGAGCTACAGGTGGGGTCGTTGAAAGAATAGGCATTCCAGTTGGAAATTTTGGACCTTTGTAGAGGTGACTACCAGAAAGGAAATCACAGAATCATGAAATGGTTTGTGTTGGAAAGGATCTTAAAGACTATATAGTTCCAGCCTTCCCTTGCACGGGACAGGACACTAGATCAAGTTCTCCATTCAATCTGGCCTTGAACATTTCAAGGGATGAGGCATCTATAACTTCTCTGGGCCACCTGTTTTAGTACCTTGCCATCCTCACAGTAAAGATTTTTTTGCTAATATCTAATCTAGCCTCATCTCTTTCAGTTTGAAGCCATTTCCCTCTGTCCTGTCACAACATGCTCTTGGATATAGTCTCTCTCCATCTTTTTGTAAGCCCACTTCACACACTGGAAGGTTGCAATTAAGCCACTCTGAAGCCATCCATTTTCCAGGCTGAGCAATCCCAATTCTCTTAGGCTTAGGGATGTGACAACAAGAGTGAGTTTGGCCTGGTAAGGCAGACAGAGCAAGGCTGCAGAAAGGGTCAGACGCTGCCTATCACAGCACAGCAGACAGCACTGTGAGTGTAAACAGAGCTCATGCAACACAGGCCTGGCTGACACTCCGAGGTGTGGAGAGTGGTTCTATGTGTTTCTGTATTCACATGCTGGGTGTGAGAAGAGCCACAGTTGTACTGGGTCTGGCTGAGATGGAATTCATTTCCCCATAGCATCCTCACAGTGCTGTACTTTGCACTGGTTCCTAGGAAGGGCTTGATAACACACCCGTTTTTTGGTTGCTGCTGAGCAGTGCTGGTGCAGCATCACTGCTGTGTTCCCAACATTCCCTGCCCCATCAATAGAGCCTGGGAGGGGACACAAGTAGGAAAGCAGAACAAAACTGACTGAAGGGATATTCCATATCATATGACAGCTCAGATATAAAAGCCAAGAAAAAAAGGAAGAAGAGGTGGGGCATCTGGTATTTACAATATTTGTCTTCCGGAGCAAGCACTCCCAGGATGTGGGCTGTCATCTCTTGCTGATAGAAAATAATTTTTTTTTTCTCTCTTTGCTTCTGTGTGCACAACCCTTCAGCTTTGCTTTAGCAAACTGCTTTATTTCATCTTACAAGTCATAATTTCCCATGTTATTTCCTCTACCCAGTCCAGCTGAGAAGAGGGGATGATAGAGCAGCTTGGTGGGCACCTGACATGCAGCCAAGGTCAATCCACCACAACTGTGTACCATGCAAAGAGACTTTCCTTACAGGATTGCACTTGACAAACAGAACGGAAGCTTCCCTCTTTTACTGTATCAGCTCACTAAGCCAGGGCAGAAATGATTTTGCTGTTGTCTCGTCCCCAAGTGCCAGAAGGCCGTGCCAGTGGGGCCCTGTGCTGGGGTCTGTTTTGCAGCTTTAGGATAACACAATTAGCTTCTTTGCTGACCCAGTGTGTCAGAAACAGAAAGCCCAGCCTTTCACTCACCCTGTTGCACTACACCCAGCAGTTTACCTTGATACCTTCTGAATACCATGCTGCATGTTTGTATCTGCCCATCCTCCACCGGCCAAGGTCCTTTACACTTGCAGCTGCCCAGAGGGCAGCCGGGCTCACACACAGCCCGGCACAGGGATGCTGCTGATGAGAGGGCAGAGAAAACACATCTCCCAGCAATGCACACAAAACACCCGAGGCTACAGAGAGAACAAGTGAAGGCAGACCTGCTCCTCTTTGCAAACAGCCTTCTGGTCTCAGCGGCCTTTCTCCTCCAGCCCAGGCAGCAGCTCCAGCAGCAGCTTCCCGAGCACTTCTTTCCCTCTCGCAGGGGCTCTGCCGGGTGGCACCCGCTCCCTCCCGAGTAGCACCGAGTGACTGTGGGACCAGAGCCCCACATCCTCTGCTGCAAGTGGGGCCAAACCCTTTCCTGGCGCTCGGCATCCCAGCCGGAGGAGCCAAGCGGGACCCGATGGGAGCGGGTTGGAAGGGGCTGGGCGATGGGGGTGCAATGTGGCGCTGCCCTCCTCACGCCCCTAAATCCCCCGTGGACTCGGAGGTCACACGGAGTGAGGACATGAGTGTGTCCATTACCTTATTGATGTCCCACAGAACCAGCCTGCTCTGGCGCTTGGCGAACTCCAAGGCGGTCGCTCTCCCGACGCCATGGCCAGCGCCCGTGATGAGCACCAGCTCCCCGCTGAGAGACTTTCTCCTCACAGGCACGAACAGCTTCACAAAAGCCTCCAGGTAGGAGTAGAGGAGCGTGGCCAGGAACAGGAGAAGCTCCAGAAACAGATTCATTGTTTCCCTGGAGCTCTTTTGAGGACCAAACTGAACTGTAATCTCTTTTGAGCGGACCCGCGGGTTGTTGATTTACCCGCGGCCGCCTCAGGGCGCGCCGTCCCGTCCCGTCCGCTCCCGCAGGATCCGCCCCCGCACCGTTCGCAGTGCCAGCTGCTCCGCCCAGCTGTCCCACCTTTAGCTCCCGGTGTCCCTGTGCTGGTGACCCTGTGGTGGCCGTGGGTGAGCGGTGCAGAGGAGCTGCAGTCTACACTCCAACCTGTCCTCGCAGAACCATGTTCGACCTGCAGCTAACAGGACGTACCGGACGTGGATAAAGAAATGTGGCTTTTAGGGCGTTTTCTGCTGCCTTGGATAAGGAAAACACAGACGATAGAGGTGTGCGAACCCCTCTGTGTTCTGCCCTTGGTTTTGATATGCCAGTCGCCCCAAGTGTTCATTCTCTGCTTTGTTTGTCCCCACACACGTGGCAGTGCCTTGCTGTTCCTCTCTCAAGCCCCTGTATCAAGGAAGCAGCAAAACATGATCTTGTCATTTGCCGCATGTGGAAAAGGGATGGAAGTGGCAATAAAATTGCTCATCCACTTTACTGACAGAAGCATCTTGATGGTCTCTTCAACTCTGTATTGTAATTCTTTTCAGTTTTTGTGCTTTGTACCTGTTGAGTCGCTCAGTGCCGTAAGGTCCTTGAGCAGTTTTCTTCATGGTCCCTCTTTCCATTGCATCTCTGCAAAGCCTGCATGGTCAGCAGGCTTTGTACCCCACCATCCTCTTCCAGGTCCCTTAAGGAAAGCTGAGTGAGTCAAGTCCTTTCAACTTCTGGAACTCCACAGGTGAGCTCTTGCATAGCTATTTGTCTTACTATGTCTTTTATTTAGTTATCCATACTCAGACCTTCCATCTTATGCTGCAGCCACTTAGTTTCTGTAAGTCCTTTAAAAATGGCATTAAATTGCATTAATTTGAATATTTTTATTTAATTTAGTCTAAATCACACAACTCACACTTGGGACTCACTTGTATATAATGGAGTATCCAGAGCCTTAAGCAGAACAGGAATGCTTATAGGAAATAGGAAAAAAGTACTTTCAGATGTTTCTTCCAGCTCTATCAATGTAACTTATGGCCTTTCCTGGAAAGGATTGCTGACCTTACTCCTTTACTTTTCAGTTAGAAAATCTGATGTATCGCTGTCATGTTCAGCATTTTATTTAAGGATATTTTTGAGCTGCTTGGGGAAGAGTGAAGGGTTCACAAACATCCAACAACTGACCAAAATCGTGTCCAGTTAAGATTACAATTTTTGAAAAGTATTTTTTTTGCCCTGGTGGTTTGGCTGCAGCTCACCTTGCCTGTGGGAGACTGGGTCAGTTCCAGCACAGAGAATTCAGGCTAGGCGCTTCCTACTTTTCTCTTGGAAACTGGTTCTCTGCTTAATTAACACATCAGCATTTGGCCAGACCCCAATTGCACAGCTCAGTGGTGCTGTCCTTTTCCTGGCACAGGGCTCCAGCCAGTGTAGGGGCCAAGGAAAAAGAGGCAGGGAGGACATGGAAGCACAAGAGACATTTCAGCAGGAGGCAAAGCACAGGGCCAGAGTCACTAACCTGACTCATAAGGAGTCCTTAGGCCAGGGTGTGAGGTACCACTCTTCAATTTGGGACTCAGCTGTAGGTAGCTTGGTGCCTCAATTCTGTCACTGATGTTCAGGAGATAAAGGCTGAAATCCTTGCTTTTGCATGTTTCTTTATGCCAAACAAAAGATATGCAGCCACACAAGACACAGAACAGAACCACAGCCACACACGGAATACTGCACAAGTTGCCTTGCTCAGTAATTCCTCTGGGCTCTGAGACCCTGGACTAGATCTGGCAAAGCGGGAATCACTACAGTCTCCCCTTCCTTAGGAGCAAGCGTGCTAAGAAACAGACTCTGCAGAAGAGCACTGTCATCCCCAAGATGGATTTTTGTTCCAATTTAATGCTGCCATCAGAATCTAAATGATATACAGGGCTAGTGGGAATGGTGTTCCAGGAGAAGCCAAGCATCTTGTCTGATGTGTCCTACTGAAGCCAGTCCTTCCCTAGTCTAAGAAAAGGGCCAAGTCATCCAATGTTGACTTTTGTCCAGGGTCTTTTTGTGGAGTCACTGGACTGTGACTCCTTTCAGCAAGGATTCAAGTCATGAAACAGAAGAAATGTGGAAGGTGGGTGGAAAGAGAGACTAAGCTGGGTGGAAAGTTAAGAATGCTTGCCAGCCATACAAGAGAAAACTGTTAAGTACTTACAAATCTGTAAAGTACTGATATAGCTCTTCTGTTCCAGTGAGTGCTAAGGGCAAACATTTTGGCTGGTATGCTGCTTGCTCTGACAGATCTTTTGAACTTTTGAAGCATCTGTATTTTTAGACTTTTTGACTCCTCACTAGGTAAGAATAGGTGAAAGTGTACATAATCAAAAAGCCACACAGATGTGGCTTTAAGTGTCTCATATGTTACAGGACTGTCATGGTAGCAAGAGGGCAATATGCACCTCAAAAAGAAGCAGGGACGCAACACCCCACATTTTGGCTTGGTTTTTAAATGGAAACCATGCCTAAGTATTCTTTGATTGGCTTATAACCTTTTTTTTTTTAATGTCCTGAATTTTGTGAACCCTCTTTTTTCCTTTCCTGTCTCAACTACAGGAATCTTGCACTGTGAAGCACAACAACTGAAGCTGGGAAGTGTCCTGTTACATGAATATTCCATGGCAAAATGGAAAACAGTTGTGTGTTATTTAAGCTGTCAACAGTGCTTCTATCTGTTGCCAGCTAAGGGCAGGAGGGGCTGGGTGAGGTGAGGGCTCTTCCTCTTCTGAAGAAAAAGAACCTTAGTTTACAGAACAACTTGAAAGGCTCAGGTGAACAGGACAGATTCCAACTGTGCCAAAGGTGGCAGTGCATTCAGGCCTGCCTGGGATGGCTGTGGGCCAGCAGTGCCTGCAGCAGGTGGGAGTTGCACAAGTGGGTGCACAGATCCTCTGTGCTCTGGAGGGGTCTTTGACCCATGTGTCAGCAGCTGCTGCTCTCTTGGACCCCAGGCCAAAGACCTTCAGGAATTTCACCTCCTGTGCCATCAGAGCAGGCCCCTGGCTTGTGGTGAGGTGTGAAGGCTCATCTGGAGCCTTCCCCTGCATCCCCTGCCCTGGCACTGCCTTTAAGCCCTGGCCCCTGCGTGGGTTGGTTGTCCTGCCTGGCCCTGTACCTCACTGATCCTGATGTGGCTTCCCTGTGTAGCTTCCCTGGGGACTGCCTCATCCCTGCAGCCTGGGCTGGTGTTTGGCAGACTCTGGCTGATCCTTTCAGCATTGCGGTATATGCTCCACTGGTACTGGACGTGGATGCCACTTTCATTGCCAAGAGACACCTTTGGGTTAGAAAAATGTATTTATTTTTAATATGGAGTGTTGGTGGTGCTAATGCATAATTGATAAATGTTGTAATTAGGCATTACATTACAAATAAGGCTGTATTATTTCAATAATACAAATAATTAATTCAATAGTGCTCATTATAAATGCACACAAAACTGTAAGTGTTCATTAGAGCACATTTTTTTAAAACTTAAAATTACTAAATGAGATGAAACAGACCACCCACCTCCTCTATAAATTGCTTCTTGCAAGATGCTTTTGTTCAGGGATGAGTCCAGGTTAACATGTTCTCAGGCAATCCCTTTGCACTCAGCTAAGGAGCTGTGTTGTCCCAGACACGGGATTATGCTGGGCATCCTGCCTGCCCAGCACAATGAGACAAAGGCAATGGGATGTACATTCAAAGCAGCCCTTCTAGAGCTGCATCACTGCTTTGCTATTACGCAGCCTGCTATTATTACACCCTGTTATGCAGATGTGTTCCAGCTGCAGATGTGGGAGAAGCCCTTAGGTGTGCCTGAGAATGGTGGCCTGGAAGCACCTGACTGAGATCTGTTCTGAATCAAAGCAGCTGAAATACGCTCAGCACATGTTCTCTTTTCACTGGTGCCTCTGGGAAATGAGAATCCATTCTTGCTTTTCACTGGGTGCTTCTCTGCCCAATGACTGCATCAAACTTTGGAATGGTCATTTTCTTCAGAAGGTTCAGGGCACGTTCTGGAAACACCCTGGAAGAGAGAGTAACATGAAATGAAAAGTGGGATAGAAACTTAAAGGATGGGAAAAAGTGTCACTGCAGGTGAGGGAAGAGCTGGTCTGGCAGCAGAATGCATGCACACATATGAACTGAGACTATGTATTAAACTGGGTATTGCTTCCATAGCTCTCATCAATCTCTGACTAATTAAAGTTTATTCCTGGCCTTTTAGGACAGTTCCAATGCCAGGTATCTGTGGAAAGTATGTGAACTGTAATATTGCTGCAGGATCCAGGAAGTTTGAATATTGTGCAGGTATAAGTGTGTATTACATTTCGTGCTCTGAAAAGCAGTAGGCCTGTGGAAGGATGAGATTTTAAAACTGAGGTGCAGTTCTTACTCCTCAGATTCCTCCTTTTAAAGAGCTTTGTCTCCTTATCCCCCTGTCCTAAATTATGACCAAAAAAACAAAGTTATTCTAAGTGCTTTGACAGAATCAGTTTTGACTTGCCCATGCTTCTGCAGACCTGCACTCTCAACAAGCAAAAGGATTTGCAAAGGATTTAAAATATTTTTCCCATGGTGTGGTGTTTGGTTTAGCAAACAAGAAACTACCAAGTGTTTCATGAGACACTACAGGATTTAACTGAGAATCTAACTTAGTTGTTTGGATGTGAATTCCAGATTTGGAACTGGAGCTCTGGTAAAAACACCTCAACAGAGCAGCCACACTGGATAATTAAGTTGTGTGGGAGGATCAATCTTGCTTTACATAGCAGAGAGCAGTACAGTTCTTTTGAAGCAATGCTCTCAGCCTCTGTGGCCTCAGTGCTGACATAAAGAAACAAAACACTAATAAGCAGGAGGTCCTCAGCTCTTTCTGGAACTTCTTCTGACTCTGAGGTTACAAGTTTGAACCTTGTATATTCATGTAGTATTGTTGTTTCCACATCTATTGTTTAGTTTTCCTTTGTACTTACATTTCAGTAAGCAAAGCAATGTTTAGCTGTGGTGGAACAAAAACCATTTTCTGGTTGGTCACTATTCCTTCC